ATCAATAACAAATTCAGTGCACGCATGAACTAATTACAGCCCCATGTAACAGCTATTTTTTTCTGTCCAAATGATGATTGTGATAAATAAAATTACTACCGGCTCATACTTGATGGATGAAAGATAATGGTGGTGGTGATGGTGGTGGTGGTGGTAGTGACAACAGAATCTATCTTGAATAGAYCAATGAAACAAGTATGGACTACAACCAGCAAGTATAACAGCTAACTTCTCTTTTTGTAAAATGGTAATAGTGTTGAAGAATAAAATTTCTGCTCACACTCCATATTGGTGGTGGTAATGGTGGTGGTAACAGCAGTGGTCTTATTGCAGAACGATAAACAAGTATGGACTACAAACAGCAAGTATATAACAGCTACTTTCTCTTTTTAAAATGTTGATGCGGTGATAAATAAAATTGCTGCTCACGATTGCTGGTAGTGGTAATGGTGGTRGTAACAGAAGTTGTCTTACTGCAGAACAATAAGTATGGGCTACAAGCAGCAAATCTAACATAAAATTGCTACGCACACTTGATGATAGTGGTGGTGGTTGCGGTTAGGTAGGTGTCTTATTGCAAACCAWTAGACGATACAAAGCACATGCAACCAAGATACTATTTAAAATATGGTGATGATGGTAGTGGTGTACAACATTGCAATAATGACTAACAAACAAGAACATGCATTCAAGTTTACGTCAATGGTTTTTCTTTTTTATCTATTTCAGTGAATCCAAAAGAGTGCTCAATACAACATCAATCTACAACAAATTACTTCTATTACGTAACACAAAGCTGTACTTTGTGATACTSTTTAGTGAATTCAAGCTCACGAAAATACATTCCTACTTGGCAATTAATGAAAAGTTTATTATTACATTGGGGCAAGTGTCTTGCATGACACATAGATCCTATGATGACAAATGCAATCTCACTTKGAACAATTATATTTACCATAATTAAGAAAACAGACGAAAATACACTTTGATAGAAAAAGAAAATAGGGTCGCTAGCATCATTACCCTTCTGCTGCCGGTCACTCATTAAGAGTCCTGCAATTCGTGATATTGCAATAATTATACAACTTGTACCCATCAACCGAATAATGTTCAGCAAA